CACAATAAATCGCCACCATCATGTGTATATTTGATATTAAATATTAACCTTGGAAACTATTTGCATATCAAGCGAAAACGTAGTCCTGTATTGTCGCGAAGCGTTATGGTTCTGAGATGCTCGATGACCCTGGAGGGATCGTTTTTGCTTACTGAGCAGAAAATTATGGGTTTAATCCCAAGCTCACCGTCATGACTCTTAAAATTCATTATCACTAAACAAAATTAATATGTTCTTTCGATAGCCGGCTATCGAGAGATTAAATAAACAACAAATAAACAATACATACTTTTGGTTACATCGCCAACTTGAGGTGAATCCTAACCGAATACCCTACCCAACCCTCCAACTCCGTAGCACTTATGAGGGTGTCGCTAAGTCGGTGGCCTCTCGTTAAGTAAGTCCTACATCAACATTTCCTTCCCTATCCCTAGTTATGGTAAAGATGGGCGTGGCCGGGAATAGCGACAGTCATGCTTCTGTTACTCTTGTTTAGATTGGAACCAATGTTTACTCCTCAGCATTATTCCTGAAAGTAGTCTAACTGAGAATTTCAGAAGAGACGTGAGTGTCGCTAGTATCCAATCTACGAAGTATATCATAACAACGCTAACGCTAACGCTAAGCAAGCACCACACGGATAAAAATATTGTTAATACTCAAAAGTATATACAATCATATTGATGCAAATATGTATTGACGACGAACATATTGATGAACATATATATCATCCCCTCATTTTCCCCTTCTGTTTGACACTACAGCAGCAGATGAGGCCTGTTCCTCAGCAACTTTTGTCAAGCTGGTTGTGATTTGACTCGGAATAAATGTGTATTGATGACCCCCCGAAAATAATATTGATGGAAATATTGACGAAACTTCTGTCGTGTGGGGTGTAGTAAAGTTTATGGCTGTCCTAAATGTAATGTTCTTTGTGCACTTCCGTAGTTAATGATTGAGAGCTTTCTATGCCTACCATTTCACGACTTTACATATTGTACACTCTGCACTCAGGAAAGTTGATTTTTTTTTCATTCCAAAAAGATCTTCATCATGCTTTACAACAACTTTGCTTTACGCTTGCGCCTTTCGAGAATCCTGGTACTGTAATTGCATATCTATCATTCCATTAGGTTTAAAATGAATAATTCCATCTTGTTTTGACCTACTTGTAGTGCAAACATGTATGCCATGTACATAGCTATATATGCACATAAGCTTAAATTATTTCTTTAGATATTCAACTAGACCGGCTTATCTTCCCACAACTGTAGAATTAGTAGCGCTGATAGTGCTGCCCTAGAAAATTTCAAAAGCAACACCGTCCGCTTCTCCAGAGCGTTCAGATCGCGGCAGCACGTTTCGTCTCGCCCGACCTGTGCGATAGTAGAGGCGTGATAGCAACTAGCGTCTTACCGGCTAACTTGTTTTCGTAAACATCTTTGTGAGCGTCATCCATCTATCAACAGGATTGTGTTTGTTTAGACCATTGACTGAGCACGTGTATCGGAGGGAGCAAATCATTTAGGATTCACGATTCTAGCACGTATAGAGGAAAGTGGGGCAGTCTCGCAACTGGGGCGATAAATTAAGCTAATTTTGTGTAGCTTATTTTGAAAAATATGCTCTATTAGTATGACAAATATGATACAAGATTTCATAAAACTGAAGTGATTCATCGATTGCTTTTTTCCAATATTCTATTAGTTGCGTTAAGAGTATCTAAGTTTATCTTTAAAGATTATCACTTCAATCAATTCGGAATAATATTAGCAATGTACATTTTTTAATTCAGTTGCCTAAAATAGCATTGTATAGATAATACACTACATTTGAACGTTCCTTTTATTTTGGAGAAAATAGATGTTCTTTTGACGTAGACTACGTCGTCCGGGAAGGTGCAACGGGTAAATCAAAAATCTAGACTACGTCTTCCGGGAAGGTACGTGGGTAAATCTAGAATATAAAATTGTGACCGTCACGAAAAGGTGTTAGGTTTCGAACGCAGCCCAACAAACATTGAATGTTGAATAAGAGCTTATTCAGGTAAAAACAAGCTTCTCCAGCTTCTCAGCTGTTGATCAACTCAAATTGTTTGTTGGGAGATAATCTTGTCATTTATAGATTGAATTAAAATCCAAATTCCTCAATTGATAAGAAATAACTCTAAGAATCTGAAAATTCCACGAGAAGTTCTCTAAATAGCTTAACGTAGTCTACATCAACCATGTGGTCGTGTCTTGTACACAACCCCATCAATTTTTATTCTAAATTAGTTGATAGTTCTCATAAATTCGAATGAGAGCACATTATGTTGTTCATACGCTTCTGTGAAGCTGTGCTCATTCTGTTCCGACGGTTGTAAATAGTTTACAGAAAAGTACATCCATCCATTTTGTCTTCTAAGCAAACATTTAATTGCTCCCACTTTACCCTATATTGATGATGTGAAACTTGCTTGAATAGTTTACCTACCGTGTTGGGCTGCGCAAAACAGTAGATATGATTGATACTGGGAAGCTGGATTATTCCGCTTTCCTGCAGACACAGTTCAAGGATGGAATACGAGGGCAGAATGAAACGATATTATAAATAGCCCGCATCCATCAATATAACTAGTTTATTCCAAACCTGGATGTGTATAGCTTAATATTAGATAAGTGTTAACCAATTTATAAGGGCTAGCTAAGATGTTTAGAGCTCTGTGCTTATAAACTACAAATCCTAGTAGTGTTCGAGTCGTCTTATTCTCCTTCTTTTTCCTTGGCTTTATTACGTCCCCCCTCTAGGAGTTTACGCCGGCCATCAACTTAGTGTTCTTTGAGCACTTCCACTTGCTAATTGAGATCTTTCTAAGCCTCTGCCATTTTTGCATTAGGGAGCGTATAAGTATGTCACGCTCTAAGGGGAAATGGGGTTAACAAATGTGTGACAAGCAATGCATTAGGTATAGACAAAAACGCATGATCTTGCTTTATAGCTGCGCCTTTTCTGATTGCGCTAAGGGAGGCCCCTAGCAGCAGTGTTCAAGTTTGAGTAGCGAATCGATCCCACGAATCGACTAAAAATGAAGTATTTTCGCATGGTGTAAGATATTCTTTTGAGAATGATAGCATTACAAAATATTTGACTTATTACAGATCGAATCTTGTCACACCAGAAAAAGAGAATCATAGTTTACGTTACCAGTGCCGAATGATCCCAAAGCCGTATTTAGGAAGACGAAAATGTGTGCAGTTGGTTTTAGGTCGCCTTCCACCTTGTCGATCCACGTTTCTACGCGCCTCTTCGTCTCGTTACCAAGAACCATTTTCACTGGGCTGTCATCCGAAATTCTTACGACGTGCCCAGCCCACCGTAGTCGCCCGATTTTTGCGGTGTGGACGATGGGTGGTTCTCCATGCAGCTGGAGCAATTCATGGTTCATTCGCCTCCTCCACGTTCCGTCTTCCATTTGCACACCACCGTAGATGGTACGCATTACCTTCCGTTAAAAACGCCATGGTCCTCCATAAGCATAGTTCATGTCTCAGGTCTAATCAGCGTTTTGTAAACAGTCAACATCGTGTTGCGGCGGACTTTATTCGACCGGAACGTCTTTCGGAGCTCAATGTTTGCACGTTTGTAGCATAATGCGTTTTTGAATATCTCTGCTGGTGTCATTTTCGGCGGTCACCAGTGAGCCTAGATACATGAGTTCTTTTTTTTTTGTTTTATTATAGTCACTTTAACACTCTTGGGTCATTCGTGACTTGTCAAATTTTGTCAAATTGTGAGATTTGAACTCGTGACTTTGGCGTGAGAGGTATGGATGTTAACCACTACGCCGGGGTCGCCCCCGATACATGAGTTCATCTACCATCTCGATTTCAACACCGTCAATCTAAACTCGTGGTGGACGATAACATAATTTTCTCTTGAACTCACGGGACTGACATCAAATGTTTCCACAATGGGTTTTTTTTACAAATTTGACAGTACTCTCTTCATAACAAACTTGAACAACACATACGAGCTTTGCGGTTCTATTGCATATTTTGCAGCTGTCGCGTACACCACCTGCTATCTGTTTTGCGTTGGTTGTAAGTGTGTGGGTGAAAAATGCTGGCTTAGCAGCTCCTTCATTTGAATGGACTCGAGAGTGTCCCCGAAACCGTTTATACGGAAATCCGTATTCGTGCATAATCTGCCATAGCTGGTCTCGATCGATTGTGTCGTATGCATATGTGAAAGGAAGAGATGCGCATCCATTTTACACCATAACACGGCACCGCTCATAGGGAAGGGCGCTACTTCGTCGTAATCGCCCATTTCCGTTCTATCGAGCAGAAATCATCAATAATATCTATGATTTCACCATGCACAAAACAATAATACGTTTGTTCCGATGCGTTAGTTCATTAGCTACGACATAAATCATATTAGAGCGCATTGTATGCATATTTACGCTCATTGTTCTCAAAACAAAAGAAGCGCGTTTCAATGCGTTTGGACGGAATTGAAACGCGTAGGACGAATTTAGAAGCAAGAAGCAGTGTTAGATTTTTAATAATATCTCAACATTGTTTGACTCTTTATCAAATTCAACGGTACGTATGGAAAGGTGGATAAATTTAGAAGTTATCTTTGATGAAAACATTCCATGTTTTGTTCAAACGCTTTCTAAAAAGCGTGGTAAAGTGCGGGATGTCCTTAGTAGGACGGAAATTAGATCAAAAACCCTACGTCAATTTTTTTCGTGAGTTCATTCCGTGGTTGGTCAATTAGGTTCTGCAGCGTAACGTTACGAATGAACTCACTGTTCAGTAGATGAACTTTTAGACAGTTTAGTGGTGCTATTTACAAGCACTTATATATTTTTCCGACAATTTTTTTTTAAATCCCAAAGTTATAAGCATACCACCAAATTATTACCCTGCAATATTGTCTTGACGAATCTACTTAAATGATCTCATGTTCTATTGTACAATTCTTTATCTCTTCTTAATTGTCCTTCACAGTCGGTCACTGCCATCCAAAAGTGGTAGAAGCCGGTTCCCGCCAGATTGCTACTCTGTCTACCAACAATCGCTTTTTGCACGATGAGCTGGTCAAGTGTGCCGAAACGTTGACCGCCAAGATGCCCGGAAATCTGTCGGTTTGCTACTTTGTCAACTCGGGCTCCGAGGCTAACGATTTGGCGCTACGCCTTGCGCGACATCACACCAAGCGCCACGAGGTTATCACCTTGGACCAGTAAGTATGAACTTATTCACGAAGGAAGTGGCGGTACTATACATAGATGACGTGAAATGTTCCCCCAGTGTTCTAAAATCTGCGCCCTTAGTGTTCTTTAATCTGCAATTGAGTTCACTGCCCATCATCATAAAGATAATATATACAGCCAGCTCATATTATCGTAAAAGCAATCGGTAGTGTTATTGTAAGGTTATTTGCGTTCGCCGTGAACTGATAACGTTAATCCTACGCACATCAACAACTTATAAGCTCTTATAAGCACCCATGGCTATTTGCATTCTTCTGCGTCTTTATTCCGACGATGGATCGTCAGCTTTGTATGCGCATATCTGAGTATATCATTTTGCTCTCTATATTCGCAGTGCCTATCATGGACATGTGTCTGCGGTGATGGACATTTCCCCGTACAAGTTCAACCAACCCGGTGGTGATCCGAAACCGGATTTTGTCCACGTAGTAAGTATCCGGAGCTAAATACCAATCACATGCATTTTCATCTTTGAATCATCGAATCACTCGTATGTGTAAATCGATGACATAAACATCTTTGCGACAACGGCATGCGCCAAAGAAAACTATGAATTGCTTCCGTTTTCCTCAAGGCACCCTGCCCGGATGTCTATCGGGGAAAGTACCGTGACTGCGATTATCCCGAGGACACTGACTTAGGTCAGCTGTACGCTGATGAAGTAGCTCGACTTGTAGAGAACTGCCCTACCGGTGTCGCGGCTTTTATCGCCGAAAGTCTGCAAAGCTGTGGCGGACAGATCATTCCACCAAAGGATTACTTTAAGAAGGTGTACAAGTGAGTATAAGGCATTGTTTTGTGTTTCACACGAATATTCACCGCTCCGTTTGGGTTTAGAATAATCCGTGATGCCGGAGGTGTTACAATCGCTGACGAGGTGCAAGTTGGTTTCGGTCGGATCGGAACACACTATTGGGCTTTCGAACCTCATGACGTCATTCCGGACATCGTAACCGTGGCCAAACCGATGGGTAATGGCCACCCAGTGGGTGCTGTCGTCACTACACCGGAAATTGCAGAAAGCTTCGCTTCCACTGGAGTGTGTTACTTCAATACGGTAAGTTGAACTGCACACTCAGCAGATTACAGGTGACTTTATTATTAACATTTTTTTTTATCTATTCAACAGTATGGTGGCAACCCGGTATCTTGTGCTATTGCTAACGCTGTGATGAATGTTATCGACGAAGAAAAGCTGCAAGAAAATGCGCTAGCTGTCGGAAAATACCTTCTGGAGCAGTGCCGTTCACTTCGATATGAATACGATGCGGTTGGTGATGTCCGTGGAACCGGTCTATTCATAGGAATTGAACTGGTCATCAATCGCAAGGAACGCATCCCTGCCACTAAGGCAGCCAAGGCCGTTGTTGACAGAATGAAGAATACCCACAAAATTCTCGTAAGCAGCGATGGACCAAACGAAAACGTTATCAAGCTAAAGCCTCCGATGGTTTTTAATGGTGAGAACGCTGATCAATTCCTGTATGGTTTTCGTGAATGTTTGACCTACTTGGAAAATCAGGAAAAATCTCAAGTCTCAAGCCCAGTTGTTACGATACCAATGTCTGCGACTGGTGGGCTATGTAGCCTAGCTAATAATGCCATCAGTGAAAAGCGTGAAAAATTAATCAAATCTGTTTGAACTTCCGCCTTAAATATGAATTTTAACCAATAATTTACCTTAAACTTGTAAGCCTCATCTATACAAATCTTAATATACTTATTTGTTTAAAAATAGGTAAGCTTACTACTTTCGAAATGCTTTACACTTTGAAGGAAAATTCTTCATTCTAACAATTTCAATAATATCTAAAAATGTATAACTTGTTTTACTGGTTTGTAGTAAGTATCACAGTCAACTCAGATTTTGATCCTACAACTTAGACGCAAAAATATTACCATAATCCGGAGGCAAATAAATAAAACGTGCTACTGAAAATAAACATGAGTTGTTTAGGGAAATGCTAAGGGCATCCCACCCTATTCCCGATATTTATTAAAATAAATGTATTTACAATGAAGTGTGGTATCATTGTAATCCCGCGAACACACTTGTATGACCAACTATGAGTATGGGCATTATTTGTATAATAAATTATGAGCACATCCACGGTCACAATTGTATAGTTTCTGGATTTGCTCATAATTTATTATACAAATAATGCTCATTTGCTCATAATTTATTATGCAAATAATTGTCATGCAAGTGTATCCGCGGCATAAGGAGATGGTATTTCAATTCTGTCAGTCCAGTGTGTCAGTGTTACATATTAGAGATTGTAACATGAAATGTATTATAAAATAAAAGCTTTACACACAGAATCTTTTTTTTTTTAATTTTATTTAGTTACCGAACTTTTTGTCAGTGCGAACCTTAACCTGAGGAAGGTTTTAAAAACAAACGATCAAACTGACGTTTGTCAGGAAGCAAGCAGAGACTGAATAATAAACAAATTCGCTATTAGAATCCACAGTTTACAATAAATCAAAAACAACAAAATGGTTTTTTAAACGGTCTTTGCGAAAATGGAGCATTTTTGTAAGGTTAACATTCAGCACATAACTAACCACAAGAAGCCATTTCATCCCTCTCTCTAACTCAATGGTTCCAACTCATGGTTAAATAATTGGTTTCTCGTTAGTGTATAATCTTCTCCCAATGAATCCATGCCTAATGGACCAAAATGTCCTCATGGGAAGTATGAAAATGTACTGTGAAATGAATAGTGTGATAATAATTTTTTAAACCCATTCTAAATTAAGATCCAAATGGATATTTCGTTTTTATAATGTCCAACTAGGTGACCTTTATGAGCTATCCCTGGGAAATTGGCATAACCTTGAGGATTGCTTAACTGCAATCAGGTCCCAGGGCTTGTCTGTATCTTTACATTTTGAAAGATACACACTAGTGATATCAGTTGTGTTGTAGCGGACCATTCCTTGAATTTCTGGAAAGAGCTGGCAAATAACAGAACACTTTTCCCAACGAAATTCGAGGGATTCCCTGATGAGGAAATAAACGCCATGCTGGGATTTCCATCGGACTCATCGTCAGACCTATAGAGGGCGGCGTCATCAAGAGCGCCAACAACAACATCACGATAAAGTCAGGCATCATAAACAATCAGATAATTTCTTACTTATTTTACCTATATTTTACTTATACTCGAATTAACCACCTTAAGTTCATGAAGTAATGAAGTAATGAAATTGGGTTGTTAGCGGAATGCTTAAATAAAACAGCAAAAAAGGGGTTATGTTCCATTTAATTCCACTTAAATAATTTTTATTCACCTTAAATTACAGTTATCTATGAATCCACACAAACCCCCCTAATCCCCCCCCCCCTTGTCTCTTTCATTATTACAGCTAATACATTAATGTTGAGATGGGGTCTTGCCGATATGTTACCCTACCGGTGATGTTACTACGGCTCGCCCTGTTTCACATTCGTGGATTACACAGAACTTATTTAACCTACCTGTAAAGATGCTGTGATGCCACCCCCTGTCTACTGGTCATGTACGGTCGAGGGGCTAGACATTGTAATATTTATATCTAATAGTTTAGCTAATATTTCTAATACTTTCCAAATATCTTTGATTCCCGTCTAATATTTTCAAACCGACCTAATATTTCTCATCCACTTTGTAGTATCCTTTTTTTCAGTGTGCTATCTCTGCTGTCATGTCTGCCGTCATTTTGTTATTTGTTGTTTTTGAACGCGTGTGCAAATAAATCTGTGGAACGGTGGAAACAATATTTTTCAGCTTTTGCGGTAAATATGGTCAGGTTAGTAAAATATTTTAAATCCGGGTGCCGGGTGAAATTTGCGAAGTGGAATTTTAAATATTTAGAACAAAAAGTGCATAATGCATTTTGGGTATCTATCGGAAGAAATGCAGCCACAAGGTCCCAAATTTGTTTTTAACCTCCAAAGTTAAGAAGAAAAGAATTGGTCAATAGGGAAGAGCACTACTTCGGCGTAAGACCCATTTCCGTCACCCACCGCTATTTCTCGGCCGTCCCTCAACGAATTGAGCTGATGTTCCGTAGATAATTAGATTATGATGGACATTAATCACATATAAGAAATCAGCGCAACTGATTGAAGGACAGCCGAGAAACGGCGGTGGGCGACGGAAATTGTTTCTATACCGAAGTAATGCTCTTCCCTACTCTGTAACCAAAATTCTAGATTTTTTTTAATAACCTGGTAGCCAACGGGTTGTGTATTATCTGTTTTAGCATGAGAAGGAGCGAGTTAAATAAATACTGAGTAAATATTAACTGCAGTGCATAAAAGTATCGGAGACCTGGCCCTTGACCCCTTCTATACTACACAATCACAATCACTAGGTGACCTTTATGAGCTACAAGTAGAAGGGCATCAAGTATGATGCGAATCGAATGTTTTTAATATTCTACTAACTTCCGATTCAGCTCAAACTCCCTTCTAATCTAATCTAATCTAATACCTCCCATCAGCTCAAACTCCCTTTGCTATTATCACAGTATCAAGATCCTAGCAGCTGCAAAGTATAATTATAACACAAAAGTAATTTCCAGATATGTTATTTGAACTATACCTAGACTTAAACGAGCAATGTCGATAGGTTCCAAAGTCCATGATTCCTTCTGGGACTAGGTCAACGATTCCCACTGGATACGGTCAGTGGCGTGCAGTTAATACTGTTAATCTAATAAATGTTAATATCGTTGCCTAACTTCGCTCACTTCAGATATATTAGGTTCTTTATTACTTGTTACGGAAAAGAATATCATCAGCACTAAACATCGTCCGAAATGGCCATTCCATTCACCAAGCAGCTATATTTTGTGAAATTTCCACATGTACGGTCCGGGAAAAAATGCTATGTAAGCATCCCAGAAACAAGCCGCGAGAGCCATCCTAATATTACTCGTCGTGTTCCAAGTCAGTCAGTCAGAGTCGTGAGTCAGAGGGTTTCCAAAATGTTTTACAAGATCCATCTTGAATTTTTAACATGGACGAAACGGCAGTAAGAACTATCCCAACTAAGGATGTGGCTCTCGCTGGGGTAGGTAGTCGGTAATTACATGTCCGTGTAGGAAACTCGGTTAAAGAGTCGTACACTGCTCTGTTTGGTCACAGAGAACAGACATTGAGGCTCGAACAAAATTTCTCTAAAAACTTGTGTAAAGATTCCTATTTGACTTAAGCGCCACTAACGGCAACTTCCCCACTTAAAAACCCTCTTTGACAACATGATGGCGCTGGCGTTGCAAAACTTACACTAGACACTATAAGTGCTGGTAGCGCCAAGTGGCAATTTTCAACAGATAATGTATCGATACTAGCGCCAAATTGGTTGAAAGTGATAAATTTATAGAGGAAATCAGGAGATGCTAGCGGTACGTAACGGCGACGTTTCCACTTAACTTTACACAAGTTTCTGATCAAACTTGGACGTCTGTTCTCTGTGCTTAGGTGTCAAGATGAGTACAAAAGACTTAATTTTGAGTTATTTCGATTCTTCGTGTATCCAGTGTGTTTAAAATTGCAAGAAAACAGCGGCCCAGCTACAAGAAAATAGTTGTCATCAGACGTTATACGGCCAAAGAGAGTACCTCAAAATTGTGAATTTGACTCAAAATTGCGAAAGTGGGGTTACTCAGTGAAAGAGTATAATTTTCCTCGATTTTTCAAGAAAAACTTCTTGCATATGAGGAAAATCGAGTGAAATTTCACTCAGTCTATTTGAATACTCCTGTGGTATCTGACTCATTACGAATACACGTTATATTCGTATGAGGAACATGAACTCGTATAGAGATTAGTGGCGTTTAACGCACGCACACTAGCGGGAGCAACGCCGTATAAAGTTGTTTATTATTTTCCTCTGGCTAACCTAAAAAGTGTATGAAAGTAGATCTGTCAAAGTGAGTTTGACATCGATTTGTTATGTATTTTCCTCGGATATTCACTAACACGCTCTCACATATCGCACCAATACAACCGGACGTGAAAATCTCTATAGTTCTGCATGGCAAACACTCTAAGCTACGATTACCTAAAATTATCGGTATCTTTTACCGAAAAACAATCGTTGAATTTAACTTTAAATAGGCTATTTTTAACTATAAATTTTTAACGTGATTAGCGATAATTTAGGTATGTGCACTGTCTTCGATTATCGATAATTTTTACCGATATCCAGGTATCCTTTACCCGAGGGGGACGACTCTATCTACGATGCAGGAAATATTGTGTTTTGCTGTGGCTAGCTGCGCGTACACTGAGAAAGAAGATTTATCACGATATTGAAGATTTCATACAAAAAGATGATGCGCGATGCAAGTAGATGCGATAAATGAAAGAAGATTTTTCGAAGATTTATTCGCTACACGGTTAGAAAAAAGTGCCCAAAATTAAGTTCTTTTCACTCATCTCGGCACTATAGTGCAGGAACCCAAAAGTAGGTAAAGCGGGTCAAAGTAATTTTCATTTACTTGTGTGCAGTTCGTATGGAATTTTCCACTGGCTTTTTAACCAAAAGTAAGTTATTTGTACCCAACAGTAGGTAAATATGATTATACTCAACGTTGAGTTCCCACACTTTAGTACCCCTGTTGGGTGGTTTTGCTCCTCCGTTTTTGACAACATTAGAAGGAGAAAAGGAGACAAACTAGTCAAAAGTAGGTAAAAGTGAACTGGCCGTTGGGTACTTTTTTCTTACCGTGTAGTGTGAGATTTTTGAGCATCTACACGCTAACTCCAAAGTACCCATTAATGAGTAAAATTTTACCCATTTTGAAGAAAAGTGGCTTTACTCATGAA